AGACAGCAGGGACACACATAAATGGCAAAAGTCAGCGAAAATTCCAAAAATCTCATACAAATTACGAAAAGCAAAAGACTAAGGCGAAACTGGAGAAATCACGAAGCGCAAAGACACGAAAATGATATTTCTACGCGCCGAATTCCGAATGATCGCATTCTGCTGCCCGCCAATTCCCTCGCTAGGGAATTTGAGAAACACGAAACACGAAACGCGAATCTCGGTCCGCTGATGCTGATCGCCTCCCGCTGACGATGATAATTAATAACAGGGGCCCGGCCCCTACAAAGAGCATAAAAACGCTGCCAAACACCCAATCGTACGGCCAGAAAAAACCCAGAGTCTCGGCCAATGGAAATGGTAATGTCTCGGAGCGAGGCTCCTCCCGATAAGCAAAAAAGAAGACAGACCAGTCGACATAATCTCAGACGGTGGGGAATGTCACTGTGCGACTGCACTTGAAGGAAAATATAGGCCTAAGTTGCTATAAAGTTGGCAAAAAGTTCCTCAAAAGAAGTCTGTAAACCTACAAGTAATCATTTCTGTATTTCCTGTTAAGATGACTTCGTATTTGATCTGTGAATAATAATGAAAGAGCTCAGAGAAATATCTGACCTCATACTTTCATTTTGAACATGACAACCATCTCTTGAATTACTATTGTCTATTTATAAATCTATTTTTTTAGTCTAGACCCATTTGTTTTAGTGTATACACTCATGTCACGAGTTTTCAGTTCTGTGTCGATTAAGATCACAGAAAAGAAATCTCCGATCAGTGTTCAACTCAACTGCTCAACTGATCAACACTTTTAGAATGCGTGTGCCTTGGCTAAGCAAACTGACAGAGAACATGACAAGAACAAGGCCTTTGACAAGAGGCAGAAGATAGAGGAGCTTATCCAGAGCTCCTCGAAATTCCCACCGAATTCTGGCTGGGCAATTTCACCTCATTCTCACCAGCGATCAGTCGATCAGCCCGATCCCGATCCCGATCCCGATCCCGATCCCTATCCATCCTACCAGTTGATCAGTCATTCCCATCACGCAGCACTCGGGCAAAAACAATTAATGCCTGGCAGAGGAATCAAATGATATTTGGCCAAGGACAAGGAGACAGCGCCATGGTGCCAGGCGCAACCACGATTTATAGCCCGAGTGGAATGTGCCATACATCAGTCCCAGGATCAGAGGAGCAAAAACAATTTAGCCAGCGAGGAGGAGGCGCAGCAGTAGTATCTGCTGTCGATGATTAAAACACATTAAAAATCCAGTAGCCCCGGACTGGGCTGTTGCTTTTCGGTTTTTGGTCGCCTTTCTCGGTGCCGGCCCTTCCCAAACTAATTTCATATTTTTCATGCAATTGATGAAATTCCATCAAGCCCCCAAAAAGCGACTCCTTTCTTGGGCAGCTCAGCTTGGAGCTCCATCTCCATCTCCATCCCCGGTGTATCTGTATCTGTGTCGCAATCAGAATCCCAGACTGTCCGTCTGTCCGTGTCCGTCCGTTCGCTTGATGTTCGGGGACTACCTGTTGCGACGTGTTATTAGGCGACGTATTGACGACAAGCAAACGTCAACCCGAAACGTCAGCTCATCATATCATCGATTGATGCGCATCGCTTCCTCTTTCTCTTCCTCTCCATCCCCCTACCCCTTCCCCTTCCCCTTACCCCCACGATCCTCCCTTTTTTGGGGGCCCTGTGCATATTTTTGGGGACTGAAACAGAAACAGAAGCCCTCTGCTTGTTCTGGAATTTCGAGAGGGTAAAAACAGCACGTCAATGTTGGGCCTCTAATTTTGTGCAGATCCGAGAGTTGATGTCGCCCCCCTCCCCTCCCCCTCGTCAAGGTGGTGATATTTGTTAGTGTAAACTGTCCATCAGCCGAGTCGATGGGCAGTTCTTGTTCTTCTCCAGCGGACCGACGTGATTTTGCGCTTTAATGAGGATTATTAAATGCGAGATTATTATGTGCTGCAATTACTTTTCGCTGCCACTGTGCTCGAGGTTTCTTTTCGTTCTTTCGCTTCGCTGCTGTCTTTTGCCTCTTCATATTCGGGTTTTTTCCCCCTCTTTTGATTTATTTTATTGAACCATAAAAATGTAAATTTTCGCGAGACAAAAGACAAAGTTAATCGTTGTCAATTATGGCCTTTGACAGGTTAATATTAAAATGTTCAGCTGGATGGGTGGAAAAGAAGAGGGGCGATGGGCAGCTTGATTGGTAGCATTCAGCGAGGATGATCGGCTGGAAGATCAGGAGCGAACCGAGTTGATTAATGCCTTGGATAGCTATAAATAAGCGGATGGAGGACGGTGTAGTGTGATCGAGAAGGGATTACATCTTCTGGCTTCTTTTGCTTTTTCTATATATCATAGGGTGTTCAAGACACATCGAGAGTCTGGTATACACAAATAGAAAGCTATAGTAACTATCCTCCTGGTTCCTTTCCACCTCATTGCACCCGATGATGACTCATTCAGTGGGCTCTTCGGCATTCAGTGCCTTTGGAGGATCAGCAACTTCTGGCATTCTTCGATCAGCCTTAATGCCATGCATTTGGTGGCAGCCCTTGAAATGTTTGATTATTCGCAATTTGTGCCCGCTGGCACTGCAGTTTCCGGCCGAGGCGAGCGCCGTCCTCCCCCTCGGGCGGGATGCGGAAACAGGAATCCAGGGAGGGGGAGGGGGGCAGGGGACTCTGGGGGCAGCACCTCTATTAACATAATCACAACACGAGTCGGTCGTCCGTCGATCTCAGCCCCATTCGCCAGCCAACCGAAAATTACGGCAAGTGCGAGCGCGAGGAATATACATATGCGTGGACTTTCTGCGGAGATGGCGGCTTGGGTAGATCAATTTTTCGGCAACCCAAATCACTGCAGGGCGATCAATTAAAATTTTGATCGAATTTTCGTCAATTTCTTGACATGTGGCCAGGAACAGAAGCCGCGTAGCAACTCCAGAAAGAGTGAAACGAAGACGGGCAGAGCGACTGGGACAAGACGAGATCAATGTAAGCTGAAATTGTCGGCTGGAGGCCTTAGGCGAAGTTTGTTCAGTCTGCGGGTTTCTTTCCATATTTCGCTGCACAGCAAGAAATTTTAATATTTTTCAAATATTAGGGATCTTTTCCTCATTAAATGATCTTGATGTTTTGAAATAGGTGTCTTATAATACGATTGCATATAACTATGAACAATGAAAAGGATATGTGTTTCTAAAATATATGTCATTTGAAAAATACTTTCAGTACCCATTCGACGACACAAAGTTTTAAGTACTGAATAAAAAAAGTTATTTAATATAACACATAAATATATTTTCGTTACAAAGCACATTTTTTTCCTGTGTATCCCCCACTTCCTCTTCTTCGCCGGCTGCTGTTGCATAGTGAATGAAATTGATTAAAGCGTAAATGAATTTTTGCGGGCCTAAATCGCCGCTGATGGCCAAGAGGAAGAGGTGGGGAGCTGGCGATGATTATAACACAAGATCGATTGCTGCTTGTCGCTGATCGCTAACTCGATGCGGCTACTGTGGAAAGCAGAGACGCCGCAGAACTCCATCTCCATCTCCATCTCCTTGGTCTCCTTGGCCGGGCCCCTCTGCTCTTATTAAGTTTCCGAACATGTTTTCGAAAAGGATCTCCTTGGGCAGCGGCAGCCGCTGTTTTTATGCCCTCATTTGACAAACTAGCCAGGGGCGACGATCGACCTGGTCGGGATCAGAATCTCGATGCCTCGGCTTCGATTTAAGTTTATCCGCACGATCAGCGCCAAAAAGCCGAAATGCCAATGCCATAATTTTTTGCCAATCCGCACGCACGGGATCGGGATCGGGAAAAAAATCGGCGGTATGGAATCCCCGGGCCTTAGAATCTGATGGAATTCCATGCGTGCCCAGCCAGTATAAACGGTAAAAACGGTAGCCACAGCGAGACGCTATAATTATTAGGGTCGAATCGGGATGGCTAGTGGGAAAATAAAGGCTCATGATCAGACAGCAGATTTCGGTTCGCAGATGAGCTAGTTCTGGCTTAGTATACCAAATTTCATGGTTCTAAAACAAAGTTCTCATTAAATTATAATACAAACTTAAAGGTGTTTAGCAACTTATCTATCGAGACACCAATATGAAACCTTAATTATTATCTTCTAACATAGTTGATCATTATTTCAGCGAATGGAACTCAAAACTTGATTTAGGAAATGTACGTATATATACTTGTTTTACATATTTTCAAAATTTCATATCTAACAGTTGAGTTCCCTCAATATAACTAAAGAGATTTCTTCGTTTCCCATGATAAGTCCCCAAGTGGGCTTAATAGCTTATAAATGAAGTAATTTATGGGATTAGTTCTTTTCTTACTATTTCAATCATTGCAAAACCAATTAAACACCAGTTCGGAATTCGGTCAGCACTTGGCAAGGGCAGAGTGCCATCGCTGATTTCGCTTTGGGTCCGAGTCTTTGGGCCCAGCTCCGTCATCAATTGCCGCTTTGTGGGGGCTCGGACTTGGGCTTCGACTTGGGCCTTGGTCTTGGTCTTGGGTTGGGGCATGTGTGTAGCATTGTGAAAGAGCTTTCTGCTCTTTAATGGACTGGAGACGAGAGCCACATTAATTTAGTTACGCTTCGACAACGATCTCGAGTCGGAGATCTGCGCATCATTAAAGACAATTTCGTGATTCGCCACGATTTGTGCAGCAAATTACTTGCTAAATTATAGAAAGCAAACAGTGCCCCTCTGCAGCCGGGTCTATTGCTCACAAATCAATAGAAATCAACGCCTGTCAGGGCTGAGACGATTCTCATGGCCATTGTTGACTTAATCAATAAAGCGAATTTGGGTTGTTTTCTATTTCGAGCGCGGGGCGATCGAATGGAGTGGAAATTTCACCGGATCACTTAGTCGAGCAAACAAGCGACAATTGGGAAAACTTGGCCTTAGTACTCATTGTCTTCTTTCCCCTCTCTTTTCGTTTCTTTTCAGAGTCAGGCCTTGGCCTTAACCAGAGCTGCCAACGCGGCCGCCGTTGTGGCCGCGGCCAATGCCAAATCGCCGAACGCCTCCTCCGCTTCAGCCAGCCTGGCCGACTTGGCCGTCAAGAAGGAGCACTCACTGTCGCCGCCCCACAATGTGATGGCTGTGGGCGTGGCCGGCGAGGATCAGCACCGCAGAGCCTCCTTGCAGGGCGTCCAGGAGAAGCTCACCCAGTTGCAGATGCAGCAGCAGCATCACCAACAGCAGCAGCAACAGCAGCAGCAACACCATCATCAGCAACATCAGCAGCAGCAACATCAGCAGCAGCAGGCGGCAGGAGTGGGTGGCGAGGTGGTTGGGCGCAGGTCCTCCGAGGGCACACCACCCACCGCCCACCCCCCGCCGAATTCGGATGGCCAGGCGCTCTCCTCCTCCACAGCCTCATCTAGTCAGAATGCCACCCCCAAGAGCGATCGGGAGAGGGAGCGAGAGAGGGAGCGGGAGCGAGAACGGGAGGAGCGGGTGGAGCGGGGCAGCATTTCCTGCCTCCCACCAGCCGCCCTTGGAATGGCCGTGGGCGTCCAGCAGGCCCAGCAGCAGGCCGAGAAGCTCCTCAGCCATCCGGCCTTGGACTCGCGACGGGAGTTCGACGTCAGCAAAGTGAATCGTGAGTAAAGGAAGCTTTAATTATCTCAATTATATTTTATTGTATTTGTATGGCCAAAGGTTATGCAGGGAATTGTAATCATTAGAAATATAATCCGTATCTCAATGATGAATATATTTACTTGAATTCTTAAAACGAAAAGGCGGAGTAGGCAAGGGGTTATTTCGGTCTTAAAAATAAATCTGCAATATATTACTTCAGAAATTAAAGACAAAAACCAACAATAAATATTGCAAAATGTATTGATTTACTTTTAATTTTTTGTAATGTATATAAATTCTGTAAAGTAGTTGCATAAATTTGATACACTGATTGAAGCGTGGCCCCGATGTAGGAAATGTTTAAATAATTTAAATTGAAATGATTCCTAATCAATAATGACAAAGAGTTGGAGCAAAATAAATAATGAAATTCCATATTATTCATAATACAGTGCGTGATTATGTGTGTAATTAAAGGGGTTTGCCTGAGCGAAGGAAACTGGCGGGGGAAAATTCTCCGACCGCTTTAAAGACACATCTTTAATCAGGCCAGCTGCTGATGGCAAATGGAAATGGCCGAGGCATTTCCTCTGCCCCAACACAGCTGGCCTAATCCATGAAAAGTTCATTTGATTTGCTCACAAGGCATTAAGCACGTATCCCACAGATACACACTCTGGCACACCCACAAGCAGACAAGTGGATACGTTCCTTGAGCAATGGCCGTGGTAATCTTGTTTGGTTCATCAATAGTTTAGCCATGGCCAGAAGTAAACCTGTGCCACCTCGTTGCGGATGCATACGTCGAGTATCTGCCGGATATAAATGGAAACTGTGAAGCCTTTTGCATACCAACGATATCAGCCCGAGCACGAGGCGCTTCCTTGGCTCCATTCAGCCACAGACACAGAAGCAGAAACAGAAACACCACACTCGTATATGCATCGAAATCCCCTGGATTAAGCATATGAAGCATTCATAACGTTTATTTTGTGTACGGATGTGTATCTGTATCTGCGTCTGTTTATGTGTCTATATGTGTCTACGGAAGGTCTGTGTGTGCGAGCAAACATTCGTTTCAGGTTAGAAAGTGTGTGTGGGGGGGGGGATTGAGGTTGGGTGGTTGGTTGGTTGGTTGGTTGGTTGGTTGGGTGCTAAGTGAGCACCCACTTGTGGAGTGAATCCCCCGAGGAGGATGCAGGCCAGGAAGCGTGCCTTGCTTTTGTTTGCCCTAGCTTCAGTCTCTCGTCTCTCGGGTACACACTGCGTATACGCAATCTGGCAGGATGTGGGCGCACGTGTGCGCTGGCTCAACAGGTGTTCGCTCGTTTATAACCTGGTGGATGTGTCGGGGCCAATTTGTGGCTTCGCCTTCGCAGATAGTTGGCCAAACAATTGACTTAGGCGATAAATATCATTGTTAATATTTCAAGTTACCCCCGGTAAACTTTAAGCTTTCTTTTCGATGCGAAATTCGCCAATGCTCAGGCTTCGAGCCTAAACCCACTGCCAACTGCAACAGAGAGGATTTGATTGGAATTTTGTCGCTGTGAATTTCTGAATTGTGTGTGAGTGTGTGTGTGGGTGCGTATCTGTGTAATGTGCTTTGTAGCATATTTTGAGGATTTGCACAACAAAACGTGGATGGAATGGAATGGGATCCAATGGATGCCGTATCCTACGACCTACGGATGGGGCTCAGTGCAGTTTGGTTTGCTTATTGTTGCCGTCATTTGGCATTGTTATTGCTGTTTTTGTTATTATTGTCATTTAACATAGCCATTTGCAACAGCTGCACATGTGTGTGGGTGTGTGTGTGTGGGTTCATATGTAAATCTGTTTTGTTTCGATGCGTTTTGTTGTGCATATTTCCGAATGTGTGTGCGTGTTTATTGCGCCTAAGCTGCTCAGCGACGCAACACGATATTTATCCTGCCGCACCACCCATCCAGATCCCAACACCAACACAAAACCCCCCACCACCCTCCTCCCAGTGCCACCCCCCTTGGCAGCTGGGCTTTTCCATTCGGGGCTATTTTTATGCTCCTGTTTTTGCGATTCTGCTGTCTCTGCTGCGCTTCGATTTATGCAGAGTTTAGTATGCAACATTTTCATACGTTAGCCTTAATAAATCCCCACCCGGCTGCACTTGTCAATATGCAGTCTGTGGCTGTGGCCGGCCAGGCCCCTTGGCCCTGCAGTTGTGCCACACTGTTGGCACCTATAAGCCTATGCAAACACACACCCATGCCGGCGACGCGCTCTGCAATTGAAAATCACTGCGCCTTAGTTAACGACACGTTTGTGGATCAACGCGTTCGGGCAACGAAAAACAGCCATACGGCCAGCCCGATTCCCCCACTTGACCCTGCTATTGAATCATTGTTGCTTTTGGCCACCGAAAGTGGAGCAACAGCAGCAGCAACTGCAGCAGCTGCATCCCCATGTGTCATAAGCCAGGCGCCATGCATACAGGACTCTGTGGACATAAGCACGCGCTCAAGGATTCAAAAAATGGTCAACGGCACCCGTTCGATCGGCTATTATGCAGATGTCATATGAGGCGGGATTGTATAATGAGATGGTGGGCTGGAGGAGGAGGAGGAGCACCGCCGATAAGCCCTGATGGACGCACAAGTGCCGCCAAAGCCGGGCAGTAACTCGGCCGAGCAGCCAGCTCCTCGCACTCACTTAGCCAACGAGTGGGTTTCCGAATTCTGTGGAGTGCTACCGGTAATCAGGCGACACAAAAGCAACGCACTGCTCCTGCTGCAGGATAAGAGATACTCAAAAGCGGGAGAAGGAGCAGCCGGTTTCGCAATCACACGCAAAACTAGCTACGACTTGGACTCCCACTCGAAGTCTAATTCGGACTCCAGTTTGAACTCACCTCACTCACCTGTGAGAGGAGTGGCTAAGCCCTGGGCCGATGGATCCGCTGGGGCGACAGGTGGGCGGTTGAGCGGCTGCAGCTTAAGTGTTAAGCGTTATGCACAGTGGCCAGTGCGGAGCTGAATGATACCACTCACCTAAGCCGGTTCCCAAAACCCAACCACCCACCACCCACCACCCACTGCCCAATCACATCCTAAAACCCAAAAACCCATTCCGGCATATGTGCTGACGGAGAGCATAGATGCAGATGCGGATACAGATACAACCTCAGATTGAGATACAAATGCGAATAAATGCCAAAAGCAACAGGAGGCAACATTTCCGAATTATAAGCAAAAAGGGATTGGCCCGGGCACCAATAACAACAGCAACTAGAGCCACAGGATAAAAGCCGGTTGTTGCCAACCAGCCACACACACACACACACACACTGGCATACACTTGGCCAGGACATCGCCAGGAGCTGAAGGCAGGTGCTGCAGGTGATGCTGATTGAGTTAAGCCACCATCATCGAGTGCACTGCAAAATGCAGAGGACAAACTCAAGGGTAACCTTTCACTTAAGCGATATGTTTTGCATGTCACGGAGAAAAATGAGATCATTGGTTCGTACACAACATTGTATAACATGTCTCGTAGAAAAAATCAATCGCTTCTCATTAATATTTTGGAACAAAAAAACAAATATAATGATTTATTTTAAAATTTATAAATTTAAATGTATAACTATTACGGTCCCTGAAAAATAAATTGCGTATGAAATTATTTTAAGGAAACCTTACTTATCATACATATTTTTTAAACCATTTTAATGAAAAAACATTTTTCAATTCAACGTAAAGGTCCCTTAAAATACCCAAAACCATATTTTCAAATCTACATCTTCATATAATGATCTTGATTTTCTAACATTTTAAATATTAGATCAATTATTATTTTTCTGATAAACATTTCCACTAGAATACTATTTCATTTTTGTACGTGTATCTGTGAGAAGAGATTTCGCATCGGTGGCTTGCGCCTCCACTTCCAGTTGGTCCCTTTATCCCTGACACAAAGAGAACTACAAATTTTAAGGATTTAAATGCAGGAGAGGAGCACGAATCGAACTCTCGGAGCTGCCACAACGGGCGATGAGCCGGAGAGTCCGCAACCCCACCGGCAACATGCAACTTGCAACCTGCAATGTGCAACGTCCCCCGAGCAACTTGCAGCTCGATTCGAGCGGCTTAAGGATCTCTGTGCGTTTTGGTTTATAATCGAATAAATACTGCCTGTGTGCTGTGCGATTATCAAAACAGAAGTACATGCACAAGGAAAAGCAACTATAAATCACTTGCATTAACTTTGAGCGCTTTTGTGCGAGTAAATATATGTGGAAGTGCGTATCTAATAATATACAAGTGGAATTATGCTGGCAGCACATTTGTAATTAGACAAGGACCAGGTCTGCCAAGGGGTTCGATTATGAATATTATAAGACTCGGCATTTTCCGTTGTGGCAACAACAGCTGCAATTGGGATTTAACATAAGCCCCCGACTGAAGGACACACTTTCTTGAGATTCTGTGCAGGCATCCTTTACGATTTTATTAAACCCCAAACAAATGCCAGAGTGCCAATTAATGCTGCTGCTAAACCGTTTATTTCCTGTCACTTAATATTGAATTTTCCCCAACTCTCCGCCACATTCAATATTCCACTTTAACTCTATTCCCACATACACACACATAGAGGGTATTAGGGGAATTAGGGAAAATCACCAGGCGAGAGCAACTAATGCGAATGCAACTGGGCGTTGTATAATCCACAAGCGAAAACAAAATCATCATCATCAGGAAAAAGGGGAAGGAGCAGGAGCAGGAGCAGGACCACCCAAGGACATTAGGCGAAAGCATCAAGTTTGCGACTTATCCTGCGACCTAAGCCTCCTGAACCCGGTGAACGTTCAGCCCAAAAAAGGGTAAATACACCACCTCCTCTCCCTCTCTCGCTCTCTCTCTCTCCCTCTCTTTCTATCCGCATATAGCCAGCTCTTTCGCCGACTTGGCTGCCTGCTTTGCATGCGAATTTGGCGCCAAAAACTTTCGAGTTTCAGACCGAGTTGCTCGAGCTGAGGGCACG